TATATATATATATTTCCAAAAATGCATAAAATGGCACAGATAAAAAAAAAGTGTATTTCTAAGAACATGCATTTTAAACAATTAAAAAAAAATGTTTTCCCTTTTTTTTCATCTAGTAGAGCTCTATCCTTGTGCCATTGACCCTTATATAATATAAACTGTATTTCTAACTCTTCCAGACTCTTCCAAACCATAATAAGATTAATTTCCTTTCACTGACGATAGTAAGTGGGCCAAAGGTTTAAGCATTGGTATAAGCGTCCCTCGTGTGAATGACAGCACCATGGAGCACCATGACATTTCACAAAGATCAGCAGTGCTCCCATGCAAGGCAATGGCTCCCAGCTCATGCTATGGAGGAGGTTAATTGGCGTAACCCGCCCCACCACTCCACAAGCCACATTACAGCGCCCTGTCTCGCAATGATGTCAGCACTCCAGCAAAAAAATATTTACCTGTGGTTGTACCTGGGAAATCTTTAGCTGTTGCCATGGACGCAGACAGAAAGGGGCAGTAAGGGAAGACAAGGGTGAGGACATCACAAGGGGAGAGAAGAAAAAAAAAAACTGGCCACAAAACTCAAAACCATTAATGAAGACACCGACCAACTGCATTAACCTGCAGTCAGAATGATGGAACATGGACGACTGGGGCGACATGATGGTTTCAAGTACAAATTCAGTGTACAAAACATACACATCCTGCAAAACACTTCCAGTTGGACATATTGAGAACTATACATTCACTCTAATCTCTGATGTCTGCTACGTCTCGCTACACTGCTCTGTAATGATGCTACTTATCATGCAAATCGCTCCGTATTTCAAGCCAGTGAAGCTGAAGATATTTTTACTATATTAATGCCAGTTAAGTCATTTGAGTTACTAGCCTCTTTATCTTATGCAGATTGAGAGAACCGGCATGACAAATTGGGACACTGGGTCTCATTCATTGTACGTACTTAAAATTTTGTGTGTGAAATCTGTATATGAACGTTTTCACAAACAAATCATGATTCATCAATACATTTTGTACTCAGATTATTCTGAATTTATGAAAAAAATGTTTGAACTGTACATTTATAATAATAAAAATGCATGTTTGAACAAAGTTTTTTTTTTTTTTTTTTTTTTACAATTGTATTAATATTTTGGAAGAAAAAAAAGATTGTCAAATAAATAATGATTGTCAATTGTGTAAGAAAAAATAATACTTGGTCACACCACTTGACATTTGATGTTGAAAATGGCCTAAATAAAAATAAAAAAATCTTTTTTTTTTTTTTAACACAGTTTTATTACTTGTTTACTATGATGATGATGCTGATGATGATGATGATGATGATAATAATAATACTAATTGTATATTTTAGGTGTAAGAATCAATTATATTATTATTTCCTTGGTAATACCATTTGACCAAAAATGCCTTTTTACACAATTGTATTACTTGGTTCTACTAACTAACTAACCAACTAACTAACTAACTAACTAAATCTTGTCCATTGTATATGTAAGAACATAATTTTTTTGGTTACACCACTTGACACTTTTCAAAAATGCTTTTCATTTTTTACAATTTTGTTGCTTGTATTTTAAACAACATTTATTTGATTTTCACCCCCTAAAATATATCCTTGACCCTTCTACAATATGAAATATATCTTCCAGATTCTTTCTAACAGACATAAAAATCATATACTCTGGGTTTAATCATGTTAAGATGCTTTTTTTTACTCACAGATATTTCATCTTAAATGCATATATTCATATACAGTGAAAGAGCAAGAAAAGCTGTGTTGTAGCTTTAGAGAAGTGTTATCTCTGTCTGTTTATAATGTGTTTGAACTGGTTTTGAGGATGACAAACATCACGTCGGTGATGACTGAATTTGGGACTTTGGGATCTCAAAGTCGGTCATTACCGACGTGACATCTCCGTTCCCTCCTTCGGGGAATGAGGGTTACATACGTTACCGAGAAGTTTCTCATTTAGGATACTTAAAATTCATTAACATAAGAACCATTTCATGCGTCCAAGCAATTATTAGTGAAGGAGACCCGATGTGTTAGTGACGACTTGCAGTGTCTATGGACTTTTTTTAAAGGTACACGATGTCAGTTGCTTGTCCCCATGTGCTTGTTTGTCCACACTGGAGTATTACATCTGCCCATTGATTGACTGAAACAGAGCAGATGTCTGATTAGAAATGCCTTTTATCTCTCACCTCTTTGACAGTCTGACAACCAGAATTTCATCTGTGGCTAGCTTTTTTCCCCTCAACACAAGAGCCAAAAACCTTTTAGTCCAATTTGTACAATGAGGAAAAAAAGAATGTCTGATGTAAAAAGGTGGAGGTGACGTGAAGTGGCAGCGAGAGAGATGGAGAAAGACAGAGATGGGAAGATCAACATTCGCGCTGTAGTTCAAACGCGGCATGACTGTTCCCGCCTCATTTCTGCTGCGGGCTGAGTGTGTTTCCCGCAGGGTTTCTGATCTGGGTGAATCTCATGAAACCTGTCAAGAGCATGTCTAGGCCACGTTTCACTTCAAATTCAAACTATATACAAAACAAAATTTTGATGAAAGAAAATCAAGACAATTTTTAGTGTTGTTGATGGGGATTTTGCCCCTAGTGGTCGATAATGGTACCACAAGCTACTAGCTTTGGGGATTATGTTTTACCTTTGTTTTATTTTATATAAAACTGCTCAGACCTACTCTTTTTTTTTTTTTTTTAAACGTCATTTATTTTTGTGATGGTAAAGCTGAATTTTCAGCAGCCATTACTCCATTTTGATGTTCAAGAAACATTTTTATTTGTTTATTTATTTTTTAATCATCAATGTTGAAAACAGTTGTACTGTTATTATATTATATTTTATTATAATACATTATATTAATTTAATTATATTCAGGATTCTTTGTTGAATAAATGTTTCAAAAGGCCTGCATATATAGCAAACAATTCATAACAATTGTTAAATATTTTTTAACATTATTTTTTTTGTAACATAAATGTCTTTACTGTCACTTTTGACCAAATTAATGCATCCTTGCTGAATTTTATATATATATATATATTAACAATATTATTATATTTCATTATATTCAGAATTCTTTGTTGAATAAATGTTTCAAAAGAACAACATATATTGAAAACAGTTTAACATATTTGTTGAATAATTTGGAAGTCTTTACTGCTACTTTTCTGAATAAAAGTATTAATTTATTAAAAAAAATCTTGATCCCAAAATGTTGTACAGTGGTGTATATGTTTTTAGCTTTTGGTGTACGGAAAATGTGCAGATATTATTTATATGTATTTATGCAGATGATATTTTTTTTGTGAAGCAAAAAATAACTAACAAAAAAAACTATTTTGCATCTTGATTTCTTCCTGTAGAAACGCACTATATGTTGTTGTTTTTTTGGCTTACATCTCTATTCAAGCTTGGCCTCATGCAAAAGACAAATAGAAAAATATTCTAAAGGTAGCCTCATTTTGAGACACATTCTATGAAAGTTTGTCAAGTTTCTGACTATCTTTTACATTTTTTTTTAGAGTGAAACATGACCTGGATATGTTTTCTTGCGATTCACGCATCTGCCCTGTTTTACATATCACCTTGCCCAAAACAGCTGTATTTACATGTATATTTTCTGTTTTTCTTGTTGGTCAAGGCTCGTCCTTTGGTTCCCTAATGCTTACTGCTTAACTTCTAGATCAGAAACGTGAGTGCTTGCTTGTTTTCTCTGCCTGTGCTTCAAACGCGAGCTGTTTTGATCAGTCTCTGCCTCCCGTGCCCTTCCTTTACTCGTCTCCCAAACTGATTAACGATACATAATTGGCTCTTTTAAATAAAACCTAAGACTGGAGAGGAGGAAATAGTTAAAAGAAGTATAAATACAACTCCGCATTTTCAAGCTATTTGGCAAGGATTTAGTTTAGGGTCAAATTGCCTCACAAGTGCCTCTGGAAGCATTTCATCTCTTGCTCCGGCAGCAGGGCGCGCTTCTGAAAAGACGTCAATTTTATGGATGTTTGCACGCTTTTCCGAGCAAGTAAACAAAACTCTTTTTCATCTGTTCTCATGGTTTTAATTGAGAGGGGGTTGGGAGTGAACAAATGCTGATTATAGGAAGCAAGCAATAAATATTTTACAGTTCCAAGCAAGCGCCGGATTAAACGTAAATGCTGATGCTCATTTAAAAGTCAGAGGAGAACTCGGGGCGCAGAGTTGCCAGAGGGAGTCTCGTCTGCTCAGACCTACTGCTGAGTACAATTAGACTATACATTACACCTGCAGGAGAGATGTCACAGGTCTCTCAGCGGCTCAATAACACTCACCTAAGAGCGTGCAGACCGATACATGGATTTTCCCATCCAGCGGAGCAATCGGATTTGGTATGGATGCTGCTGTTTTCTAGCTCATGCTTGTCTTTTTGCAAACTCTCTGCTGCTGCAGGCTTGACTTCTGAATATATGGAGGCTTCGCTTTTGTCTTTATGGGCTTTTTTAACTTTGATTTATACAATAGGAGAGTGGAGAGAGTGGAAAGTAAGGGGAAACCCTGGGAGTGCATAGCTCTGTGTTATATTGTTACTACCTATGTCAGAACAACTCTAATGAATACACTATAGAGCTACAAACGTATAGCGGTCTCCAGTGACTACAGAATATATATATATATATATATATATACAGTTGTGCTCATAAGTTTGCATACCCCCTAGCTCTTAATGTATTGTGTTGCCTTCTTGAGCTTCAGTGCATGTTTTCACCTTATATAATAGTTATGCATGAGTCCCCCAATTGTCTTTCATGTGAAAATATAAATCTCAACATCATACAGACACTGTTGGAAAGGGTTCAAATATGCAGAAAATGTTGGAAAACCAAAGAATGTGCAGGAGCTGGAGGATTTTTCAAAAGCAGGCAGGTGAACTGCTCCGACCCAACAAGGGACTCATGAACAACTATCACAGAACAGAAAGACAGTCGTGGATCATCCAGGAAACAACACAAAGTATTAAGATTCAAGGAAGGGAATGTTGAAGCCAGCAGCCTGCTTGTTTTTCAAATTATAATGTTTAACAGTGGAATTTGTGGTAAATTTCAAATACTTTTTTTGCTTTAAATCTAAGTTTGTTATGTTGTGATTCACCTTGTTGGTTTGGTTCACAGCTTATAATGCTTTAATGAACACTTTTTTTTTTTTTTTTTTAATCCCTATGGGAAACATTTGTGGAGAAATACTTTTGGAACTAATGACACGCCTATTGACATTGACTGTTTATTAGTAGGCCTACTTATAAAGCACATATTCTGTATGATCATATTCTACATCCATAATCCTACACAATACCTAAACTTAACATCTACCTTAATAACTATTCATAAGCAGCAACCTAAGAGTATATTGGGGCAAAAGTCATAATTAATGGTTTGTTAATAGTGAGAATTGGACCTTAAAATAAAGTGTGATCACACACACTATTATCATCATCATCACACATTATAATTTTTTGTTTATTTATTTAATAGAATTTATTACAACAAAGGTCTGAAGCTCTGTTGCAGAGATGTATATCTTTAAACACACATATAAATCATGATTACCGTTACTAGTATTAACTATTACTAGCACAGTTTCTGTGAAATGTAAACACTGTGGTACTATCAAAGCATTGGTATGTTTTTAGAGCATCCTCAGAAACCCAACATACTGTAGTATCATTGGCTCGAACCAATGGGGTGAGTTTGTGGGCGGGGCTAACTGTTGGTTCGACCAATGGCAGTTGGAGTGGAGGTGTAATAGAAGGAAACCTGTTAAAGGAGTTCTTATTTTTATAAGTCGAAGCAGTGAAAGTGGTGCAAATGTGACACCCTTCACCTTTAAAGATGCCATTAAATGCCACTTCAATTAAAAAAATAACTGTATTGTATTTGTTTACTGTATACTGTAGTTTTAAACAATTATTCCCTTAGAAGTACACTTTAGCATACTTTTAGAAAACGTTATTACGAAAATAATATATTATACTTAACCGCAAACTTGAATGGCATTTTTTTTTAGACATTTAACTGCATGTTAATTGAAATTAAATGAAAATGTACTGTAGTTTACATTTATATTAAATACAAATAGCTGAACTTTAGAGCACTTTGTTTTTGACCCAATTAAGTAGGACTTGAATACATTTTTATATGTAATTTCATAATTACTTCTATTGTATTTGAAATATGATTAAGATGTACTGCTGAATGTACTAATGAGCATTTACAGTAAACTAAAGTATAGTTTAATGTCATTAGTATTGATACTTGTGTCATGTATTTAAATATATTTGTAATTACACATTTGTAAATTACAATGAAGTAACAATTAAATTTTTTTAAAAGCACATTTAAAATATATTAACTTTAAATGTAATATAGAACATCACACTATAGTTGTATAGAATATTTGCTGTAGCATAGTCAACACATCAAAATTAGTGTACTTTATTAAAGCACAACAAAAAATTAAAACAATTATTTAAAAAGTACTTTAAAATGTTGACATTATTACAAAGTGCACTTTTTAAAAGTGTACTTAAGTGTCTTAAGAAACATGCACTAAGTACACTTATGTAGCCTTTCATTAATATTATATTATCTGCAAGTACATTTAAAAAAAAAGATATACTTATATGTTTTGAAGTACACTACAAGTGCACATTCAATAGAATTAAGCACACTTCATTTTCAGAAGGGTTAGATCTAACTACATTAATAATTATTTTTTTAAATAATGGTTAAGTTGAATGAGAACCTGAATCTTTAAATTCCTTATGATACCCATTTCTAAGGAAAAAACACGAAAAACAAAACTGAGTAATGTTACACGTCACAGCCCAATTTACCATCCTACTGAACCGAATACTAACATAACACAATTTGCCATCCTACTTTGTATTTATTGCCTTTCCTAAACATCAGACATTCACATTTATATCTGTCCTCTGCAAAATAAAGTGTACCTACCAGCAGACACATTAATAAACGGAAATTAAAACGGTAACTGGAGATGAATAGGGAGTGCGTGAATTCAACTGACATTTATTGCCACTTGGCAGTCGTACCATTAGCAAATTAGGTTCATTCGAGAGCCGAGTCGGACAACTCATCCTGAGAGGAAGGGCTTAATAAATATCACTCGGGTGAAGTCAGACATCTAGATGAATTAGAAGGTAATGAGTCATGTGAATGAGATTCTCCCTCTCTTTTTCTCTCTACACCTGTCTGTCACTCGCTTCCTCTCATCTCTTTAACCTGGGGGCCGAGGTTTGATTGGTTAGTTTTTGCTATAGTAAATGCTGCAACAAAAAGTGTTAATTTCAGTCGACGACTATTCAAAAGTAGTTAGCATGTCACTAATATATTGTTATGCTAACAGATAACTTTCTGTAACTGATTCATTTGTAGAGCTTCCCCGCTAGTCTTTATTTTGTGCGTCTGTTTGTCTCCAAATAAATCTGGGGCAATGGAAAGGCATGGAGAGCTGTGGACTCGACTTTCAAAAGGCGTCCTGTCCATAAAGGCCCCTCCTGTTGAGACCAATCCAGCGTCTTTGTTTTTAGTACAACAAATGTGTACCTTCCAAATGATTTCTCTCAAAGATTGCTGTTGGGCCTATTAAAAAGCGATGCTACAAATCCATCTCTGTCCCAAGCGCTCTGTATCTTCCTTCCAATTTTTGCTTGACAAATGTTATCTGCATTAGCAGTGGACCCTTAATTGTGTGTTCTTCTCTTGCTTTGCTTCCTGTTTTGGAGAACCAACTTATCATTTCTGGCTCCGTCTCACTTTGGTGGCAAATACTGCAGCCACCAGCAGTTTCTGCTGTATACCCTCAACACACAAAACTCCTATAAACTAGGCCAGGAGGAATTTACTGAGTGCGTATGTGTGTTTTGACGTGGATTACGATGGATATTAACATAAACTTTCACAAATAAAATAAATAATGAGAACACATGAGAATATAAATAAATGAACTCATGGATTTATTGCCCTCCAGAGGTTATGATGACCCAGAAGTACTTACCATACACATACAGTGTAAATTCATCCCTGTTGGTGCCGAGGTGGTTGCTGGCCTCACAGCGATATGTGCCATTGTCTGTTTTGTTCAGTGTGGTTATGATTAGATCTCTACCCTCCACAATCATTCGTTCAACATCAGGAAGCTCACCTCCATCTTTTGTCCAAAAAACTGGCTCAGGCCTGAAAATGAAAGAATAATATAGCTTGAGGCCTCAGAAAAGTAAAAAACTCTGAAAAGACTGGTATGTCTGTACATAAGAAGTGTCACAAATTCAGTCCATGGACTTCCGTTTATTCACCACCAGAGGTCACCCTTTCCATTACATTGACTCTCGCACAACACAAACTGTTGCATAGCACCCTGGACTACATATCCCATCATTCTTTGCACGATTTGCAAACCGCACTGATTGCACACAGCTGTTTCTAATCACCTCACTCACTATATAACACCCACTCTAACCACCTTTCTCTGCTGAGTATTACTTAGCCTACTAGTTTTGTTTCCTTGTTTTGTCTTGCCTTGTCAGTTTTCTCGGTTCTGATCTTTGCCTGTCTTCCTGGATTTATCACTTTAGTCTTGTCCCTTTTTGATTCTGTTCGCCGTTCGATGACCTTCGCTAGCCCTAGGATTAATCTTGTGTCTTGCCCGCCATATACCTGTTTGCCCTTGTTTGACCCTGCCTGTGTTTCTGACCTCTCTGCTTAATAAAGCTTTGCACATGGATCCGCATGTCTCACGTCTCGTCAGCCCCATAACAGGAAGGTTCACAAACGTGATTTTTTTTTTGCATAGTAATTTAATTTAATTTAGTCATTTTAAGTTTGATTTTGTGTTCATACATGCTATTGCAAGAAATTATATAATTTAACAAAGGATACACACATTCCCAAAACTGCAAGGAAGCTGTTATTTTATTAAAATATTATATTAAAATATTGAAATTGTCATGCAGTGCCAGAAAACGAGCAGTTTCTGCTAGTTTATGTAGATTTTTTACTATATATTTCTTAGTTTTAGTACATTAAAACAAAACAACAAAAAAATCTGTCAAGCTATTTTTGAACACAAGAACACATATAATATATAAATGCCCCCTGTTGTACTTCTATTGTAAATATTTTGGTCGAACCTAATCCTTTAATCTGTTTAGGGCATAGGTTTAGTAGGTTGGTGGCAGAAAAGATTTGTCTCTCATTTTGTTATTTCTGCTCAAGGAACTTTTTACGGTTTTGTCCTCTACCTCTGAAAGGTCACTCTAAAAGAGTTACAACTGTCTCTAGACGATTATATGACTCACTAAATCTCTCCCAAATATCACAATCTGATTTAGTATTATTGCTTTTTGTTCTCGGCATGCAGATAAGGGACGTGATGATTCTGCAAGTTCAACTTCATAAGACAAACCATATTCAAACAATGTTCACGTAGGTGATTAAAAGAACGCTGCACTCACAGTGGGTTGCCTTTGGATACACACTCCAGTTTGAAGTATTGTCCTTCCTGAGGTACTATTACTGAGCGCACAATCTGTACCTGAGGAGGATCTGGATTGAGAACAAAAAAGAAAACAAAACACAAAATAAAACAAGAATCACAAAGCAAACCAAAGACACAACGGAACACAGAATGAAACAAACAAACAAACAAACACACAAAACAACAACAACAAGAAAAATGTAAAACACCCCCCCCCCCCCCCCCCCAAAAAAAAACACACAACAAAACAAAATAACACAAAATAAAACAAAAGGCAAAACAAAACAACCAAAACATAACAAAAGCACAACAAAACAAAAAAAGTAAAACATAACCAAAACACAAAGTAAAACAAAAACAAAACATCCAAAGCAAAATAATAACACAAAACATAACAAAAACACAAAATAAAACAAAAATCACAAAGCAATACAAAAACACAAAATAAAACAAAACAAAAAAGTAAAACATAACCAAAAAAAAACAAAAAAAAAACAACCAAAACATAACAAAAACACAATTAAAACAAAAAGTAAAACAAAAACAAAATATCCAAAGCAAAACAATAACACAAAACAACCAAAACATAACAAAAACACAAAATAAAACAAACACAAAGCAAAATAAAAACACCAAGCAACCAAAACACAAAATGTAAAAATGTATGAAGAAAAGGGATCTTCAATGTAAATATTATATCCACATAGAATGAAACATTGTAAACTACTAGCATTTTGTATCACCACACCACTATTTTTGGACCAAAATAACTTGTTAATAGAAATGTTTGACTAGTTTGAAAAACAAATTGTAACTACTGTTACACTACTGCAAAACATTGCTAAATTGTGGTTACTGTACACACAACACTGTCTCTGCTGCTCTTTAAACTGGTGCTGGCAGACATCCTGTTTCAGCTGATTTGAGAGCAGTTTCTGTCAAACTAAAGTCAGGGGGAAACTGATCCAAAAATATGACTCACAGTGGACCTCCAGCACTTCTGTAACCTGGTGCGGCAAGGAGCCCAGAGCTATGTGCTCCACTACACAGGTGTACGCTGCTCCATCATCTGTCCTGTCCACCTTGAGGTGTATGGTGCTCCTGACCGTGAATGACCTCCCAGTGGCGTTTACCTCCTTCTGACCTGCCAGAACACAGTCACAAGAAAACCTATCAGGCTAATGTTACACATACAGGACTATACATTTAGAATGTTTCATTTAGTATATCATGCATTATGAAATTTTACAGATTTCAGATGACTTCACTTACAGTGTGAATAGTATCATACATCCAAGAATAACCACACAAAAAGCTGCTGTTCCAAGTATCAGTACAACTGCTTATACACAAAATGTAATAATAAATAACTTACCTTCAGGCACAATATTGACAGTTACTTTTTACTGTTTTTTTTCAGCCAATGAAAATAGATCCAAATTAAATTAATGCAAACATGTCTACAACGGTTATTAATTCCTGAATGAATATGTATTTCTGAACAAATCAGTTGAGTTAATGATTCAACCAGGGCCGTGCACAAACATTTTGAGGGGCAGTGGCCTAAACCAAAAAAGGGGGCACTAAGGGAGTGAGTGCTTGTTAATGCAAATTATCCAGTTGTTACAAATATACAATTAAAAGAGAAGACCGCACACTCTGTAATAATTTTAGACTTTATTGTAGATGTTTTGATAGAACATTACAATTACCCACAGGGCCGTTTCTAGGCATAGGCGAGCTAGGCGGTCGCCTAGGGCGCCACCAGCTGAAGGGGTTCCAATGAGCGCACGTACTGGCACTGCCTGATTGTTGCATGCAAAGTTTGCATTTGGAGCGCTCAACAACGCCATTAGATCAGTGGGCTCTGTCAGTGCTTTGGCAAGGTAACACTTTTTTTTGCCATGCAATAAAGCTAAGTTCAAAGGCCAATTTAAAATATTGGTACAGTAAATAAAGTGTACAAATAGGGATTTCACCTAGGGCGTCATATTAGCTAGAAACGGCCCTGATTACCCATAGCTGATAATAACAGAAACTATTGGGGGTGAGAGGAGCACCTCAGCCGATGAGGGCAGAGGGGCAGTGGCTCTAGCCACTGGGCCACCCCCCTGTGCACTGCCCTGGATTCAGCAACTCAATCAAAGACACTTATTCCACTCCTAAATAAGTTTCTTGAACTAACCGGTTGAGTGAATAATTCAATCATTTACTTCTCATTTTCTGTCTTTTTAGGATTAATTGCTTGTTGTAATACTTATTTATAAGTGACATTAGATAAAAATCTCCACTACTGAACATTTAACTCACTCATATAAACAATCACTTGTTTGTTCTTGAAATAATAAGTGTTTTGAATGAAGGATTCAAATGACTCACTCATACAAAGTCACAAAGACTGACTGGAGTATGCAAACATGACACAAAAAAATGACAAATCTGCACTTCCTGCAGCACTGACTGTCGGCCAATCCCATCTGAGGTGTTGGATAAGAATATTTTATTTTCTAATTTGTTTTTTTTTCTATTACTATTTTTGATCATACGGGAATTAGCCTTAAACTTCAGCAGCACCAACAACATGACATTCTTCTGTTTGTGAAAAAGTTTTTGTTTGCAATCACACAGACAAAGAACAGCAATCCACCAACAGAAAATATTCTAATATCCTAAATTCAAAACATGGTCCCTTTCGGCTTGGAATTTATTGGAAAGCCTGTGGACATGCGAAGAACAAAACATAATTTAAAGCTTGTAAGGAATACTTAACGTCTGTGAGAGGAACAGCACAGAAAGTGATAGAGAATCAGTAACCAGAGAAAACAGCAGTTAGAGCCATGCCTGCGTACCATGCAAGCCCTGGATCAGCGGCATCATGAATGGTTACGTAAAACATCACCCTGAAGGATTGCCTCCAGCAAACATCTCACTACACATACACATGCATGACCTGCCCAGATAAAACATGGGAGTATCTCTTTCCCTTAATGCACATACACAGTAAAACATTCAGAGCATCTTTGTTGTTTTGTTGTCCTTGCTTTTGCTTTTTTTTGTCATCCAAATATAATCTTTGATGTCTATTCAAAGCATCAATAGAGCACTGAAGAAAAACACTAAAATGGCAAACCCATTTTACTTCTATAATATGCTCAACTGGTAAAGCACTGTGCCGGGAACACAAAGGTTGAGGGGTTCAATTCCCAGGGAACACTAGTATTAATAAAATGCATTTCCTGAATGTCCTGTAAGTCACTTTGGATTTAGCACCTGCCACATGTAATGTAATATATTTCTGAGTGAAACATGATGATGTGAGCTGAAAAGGAAAGTCATAGAGGTGAATCAAACTATTACATTTGGATACAAACGATATGAAAATGGAAATAATGCGCTTCTTGTATTCACTCACATAGATCTAAGGAAGTCAATTGTTTTCATTCTTTTTTTAGAATAAATTAATTGCATCATATGCTGATTAATTGACTGAATATGCCAATATTAGCTGAAAAGCCCCCCAAAAAGTATAATTCAGATACATTACATACTGTGGCAGATGAAAGCACTGAATAGATGAATGTTCCAATATTATTTGGCAAACTTTAGAATTTTGATTAATTTAATTTTGAATTGAATGATTTCCTATTTAGGAAAGGATAATAAATAATGATTAAATTACCCCAAGCTTTTGAACAGTAGTGTACATGGTACCGTATGTTACAATGTTCAAAACACTCACGGTAACACCATGGTACAGTTTGTTAGTGGAGGTAATAACATGCTATTATTACGAAATATGTAAGAGTTATTGTTTGAATTGTTTTTGTATGAATTTGGGCCCCTGCTGGTACTCAATGTGACGATTGACTGGTATGTAATTTCATATACAGCATCTGGTGATAAATAAATACGTGTTGATTTTAATTGCTGTGGAATATGGTGCAGTGCGATATCTGGTCGGTGGTGTGAAAGCTAGACATTGTGAGCAACTAAGCAGCTGAAATCACATCTCTCTCACTCTCTTTCTCTCTCTCTCTATCAACACTAGCGTCAGTCTGTCAAACGCTCCCTTTGCATTGCCTGCGGCGCTGCCCTGCTCCTCTAGATGCATGCTATAATTTGACGCTTCAGGATGATTGATCACCTTTTTTTGAAGATGAACTAAACCGTAAAGAAATGCTGATTTTTTTTTTTAAAGGAATAGTACACCCAAACATCAAAAAGTCTATTTGATCATCATTTACACACCCAAAGTATCAAAGAAGATTTTATTGTAATGATTTGTTGGTGAGTAAAGGATGAATTTTTGGTGAACTATCCCTTTTAAATTAGTGTCTCTATAACAGAGGGACATTTGATGGCAATAATGTAGTTGTCTGAATGACGTTTATTTTGTTTACTCACTCTAATGAGTGTATGTTGTTGATCTCATCTCATCATATCTCATCACAACTCCAATCTGCTGTTTCTCACCCTCCTCCAGAACAGACCTCTGTAACACTTCTGGTGTTTAGGTAAAACTCTAGCAGTCAAAAGCTATTACATTTCTCAGAGAACAGCTAGAAAAATATATATTGTAAGTAGATTTTTTTCATTTTTGATTACATTTTAATGTTGCAAGTGTTGTCAAGGAGCTGCTATGTGTTACTAAGGTGTTCTAAAAGTGCTTTTTGTGCATTCTGAAGCTGTTGCTAGGGTAGGGTGTACTGAGTGTCATGACATATGGTTGCTAGGGTATTCTGGATTGTTGCATACTAGAAAAATCACCCACCCCCAAGGCTCAGGTCAGTCCTTCAATGTAAATTTAAAGTTTTTTTTTTTCTACTTACAAATCTGATCACTTAGAAAACTAACATGACATCTCTACACAATAAGCCACATTATTGAAGTTGTCTGTAGTTCAATATGATTTATATTTAGTTCTTAGGTTTGATGTTTGCTCAAATCCCCCACTGTAAGCAGAAATATACAGTATATAAGAATGTACAGTATGTGTGTGCGTGTATACGTATATGTTAGTGCTGTCAAACGAATAATCGCGATTAATCGCATCCAAAATAAAAGTTTTCTTTTAACAAGAGGAATACGACAACTGTAGCCAAATTCCTTGACACGTCTGTGTGGTGGCTCTTGATGCCTTGACCCCAGCCTCAGTCCATTCCTTGTGAAGTTCACTCAAATTCTTGAATTGATTTTGCTTGACAATCCTCATAAGGCTGCTGTTCTCTCGGTTGGTTGTGCATCTTTTTCATCCACACTTTTTCCTTCCACTCAACTTTCTGTTAACATGCTTGGATACAGCACTCTGTGAACAGCCAGCTTCTTTGGCAATGAATGTTTGTGGCTTACCCTCCTTGTGAAGGGTGTCAATGATTGTCTTCTGGACAACTGTCAGATCAGCAGTCTTCCCCATGATTGTGTAGCCTAGTGAACCAAACTAAGAGACCATTTTGAAGGCTCAGGAAACCTTTGCAGGTGTTTTGAGTTGATTAGCTGATTGGCATGTCACCATATTCTAATTGGTTGAGATAGTGAATTGGTGGGTTTTTGTTAAATGTGAGCCAAAATCATCACAATTAAAAGAACCAAAGACTTAAACTACTTCAGTCTGTGTACTTTAATACACAAGTTTCACAATTTGAGTTGAATTACTGAAATGAACTTTTCCACGACATTCTAATTTATTGAGATGCACCTGTATATGCTTCAGACACCGGTCACACTGAAGGCATTCCCCATAGCGACCTCTAGAGGACGCAGTGTCTCGTTCCTTTCTCAGGGAACCATGCTTACATATGTAACCTGAGACGTTTTTATAGGAAATATATTTTAATAAAATGTATTACCATTTACAAATTTTAAATTTCAAATGTAAAAAGTAAAGGGATCCCAAAAATACCAAATAATGGGATACCAAAAAAAATTTACATTTTGACTTCATTTTAATGTCATTTCAAACCTTTCTGAATTTTTCTTCTGTCAAACATTACAGATATTTTGAGAGAAGTTTGTTGTTGTTTTTTGCACATATAATAGAAGTCAAAACAGTTACCAACATTTTTCAAAATATCCTTTTTGTGTTCTGCAGCAGAAAAAAAAATGTGTGAACTGTTCCTTTAAGAACAAACGGTGCAACCAAATTAAGAACAAATTTAGGTTCAAATTAACTAGTAGTTACTAAACACCTGCTGTCAACTTCATGTCCCATTTTAAGAAAGTCCTCAGGAATGGCTGGTACAATCCCATCCAGATGTGGTAGAACAGCATAAAAAGCAAGTGAAAGATTGGCCCACAGGAAATTAGTGTAGTATATTTAGCACAGATCTAGATATAGTAAACTGCATCTAAAAAAAAAAAACATTGGCAATCCCAGTGGTAAATAAGCTCTCAGGAGATCCTGGATTTGTGCTGAAGTTTCAAGAGTCGCAAGCACAGCCCGCACTGGAAGTTCTGTCAACGGCAGCCAGGGTATCCATCAACGTGACCCGTTCCACAAAGCTTCGTATCTCCCTGACCATCCTAAAGTGAGCGGTATCGCACCATGTTACATATTCTGTTTGGGCCTGCGTGCTGGTCTCCAGAAGCACATCAAATCCGTCTCACAAGATCAGATCACAGAGCGAGATTCCTTTGAATCAGAGTGACTGACAGGCGGTCCGGCTGTGATGCTCTGTTCCCGCGTGCCACTGGCCTTTAAGTGCGGCTTGCGTGAATGCCATCTCTGAGTTGGGCCTGTCTGACGGAGTCTCAGGCCATCAATCACCAGCACCAGATCAACCGACTGGGGCTTCTGCCTGAGATGTGCATGTCTCAGCCCTCAGAGGGATGTCTGGGGTAACATATTGGTTAAAGTTGAACTGATGTGTTACTGTATGCTGTGCTATCGTACAACGGATTGACTCAAGAGACGCAATTCCTTTTTAAAAAATCTTTCCTGTCTGATAAGGTACATTGTTCAGATAAATATGTAGCCTTGTTTTACCTCATCGGTTGAGCCAGTGATTAAATAAAATAACTGTTTTTAAATATAAATTAATACTTTTATTCATCATGTAATTAATCAAAAGTTTTGGTAAAACATTTACATGAGCACAATAGATTTGCAATTAAAATAAATGCGGTTTTTGTTTTTATTTATTCATCAAATATAAAGTCCTGAAAAAAGTATCATGATTTCCAGCACAACAAAGGTTTCTTAAGAATTCAGAAGGATCATGTGACACTGACAATTCAGCATTGCATCACAGGAATAAGTTAAATTTTTATACATATTAAAATAGAACATTTAAAATGTGAATAATATTTCACATTATTATTATTATTTAATGGTATATTTGATTAAATTAATACAGCCTTGTTAAGAATAAGACTTCTTTCAAAAACATAATTTATCATTTACATACATATATCTATTTTTTTAAATGATAAGATGTTTTGTATGTATTCAAGGTAAAAAAAATATGTTATTACTTTTTACTTGATCACATGCAAAAAGTAATAATCACATACTAGTTAATGTAAACTAGTTAAAGTTTTTCAAAACCACATAAAAACCAACATGACTATATACAGTAGATTATATTTTAAGAAAAATCTTACCTACATGTTTTAAGATAGATTTTTAAAAATATTTTTCAGTCACACTTTATTTTAAGGTCCAATTCTCGCTATTAACAAACCATTAATTACGACTTTTGTCTCAATAAACTCCTAATTTGCTGCTTATTAATAGTTAGTAAGGTAGTTGTTAAATTTAGGTATTAGGTAGGATTAGGGATGTATATTAATGTCATGCAGAATATGTACTTTAATAAACAGCCAGTATGTTAATCATAGGCATGCTAATCAGCAACTAGTTAATAGTGAGAATTGGTCCCTATACTAAAGTGTTACCGATTTTTCTTTTCTTTAAGAATGGTCTTTGTCTCACACACACCCAGACACTCCCACCTTAGAAATGCCTGGAAAGATCTCTGAATAAGTGCATGAAATCACATCCTGTGTTAATAATTGTACCTCAGACATTATTTGTAAAACAATTTCTGTCCATGCACATTAAACTGGTAAATGACACACTTCACTTTTAATGCATAGCAATGCAGGGTTCTACTGTGAGATGCTTTGTAAAGAGCTGCACAATTCATGAAGGTGCTGGTGTAAAGCTACACATTACGCACCATGTACCACTTGCACACTGACAAAATGTGCAACTGTTCATTGCACAAAATCAACTCTAGGCTATCCGAGGGGATTTGTTTACCTTGCACCTCCTTGTCGTTTCTGAACCATCGGATGTCAGCAGCCGGTTTGCTGCCAGATGTGGTGCATGTCAGTGTGACGTCCTCCCCCTCCTGGGCAGGTCTCGAGAGGCCTGTGATTTCTGGTTTCGCTGGAACACCTGATATACAAACAGAGGAAGAGGATTATAGGCAGCACTGATAGAAATTTACGATTTCAGGGCTCAGTCCCCACCTGAACATGATGTGGTTTAGAAGAATATTTCTTGCCTGAAATTCAAATGTTGCTCGACTGACATTTTTTAAATATAAAACATGTTTGTCAGTTTATATATATAAGTTTGTCAGTAGATATATTTCAGTACATTGACATATTCTGCTGTATGGTATATTTTGTGATTTTACTGTAAAAGGAAGCATTTGTTGAGCGATAGAGATGGAGAACACACATGCGTTTTGGTTTCTACCACAGTCTTTTCTACATCAAACCAAACCACTAACACAAACTGTGTTACAGTAACACACCAGAGTAAGTGTTAAAATGAACAAATTAGAAAACTGACTTAACAATTTTACGTTAACGTAAAACATGTAACATATAGGTCCCTATTTTAACGATCTAAACGCATGGTCTAAAGTGCACGGCGCAATTGCGCTTAGGGCGTGTCCGAATCCACTTTTGCTAGTTTAAGGACGGGAAAAATGGTCTGCGCGCTGGCGCACAGTCTAAAAGGGTTGTCCCTATACTCTAATTGAGTAATGGGTGTGTTTTGGGCATAACATGCCATAAACCAATCAGAGTCTCATCTCCCATTCCCTTTAACAGCCAGTTGCGCTCGCGCCATGGCGGATTCGCAATTTACATGGTGGAATTTACAAGCGGAAAAACAGAATGCTTCTCTAGTGAGGGAACGGATCTGCTCGTGCGCGTAATTCTGATACATGCAAAGACTATCCATTATGACATGTAGGCATTTTTATATTTATGTACACAATAATAATCTTTTACATTTTAATCCTTTAATTTTTAATTTTTAAAAATGTTTGTGTGCTGCTGCACGTTCCTGTGTGTGTAATAAGAAAAGTTTACGCTTGTTGTGCACCCGCCTATAGGCGCATATCATTAACTCACTCTTTACATAACAAAAAAATATATTGTGCCAGACTTTATACAAGGTTTTTGTTGGTCAATGGCGCAGTCTATTTCAATTGCCTCAAAATAGCAACACACCGGCTCACAAATGGGCGCAAATGCATTTGCTATTTAAATAATGTGGTGCAGGACGTGAAAATGACAACTGTGTTGGGCTGAAACTAGCAAAAAACACTTGCATGGCGCCTGGCGCCGCATTGAGCCGGGTGTATGATAGGGCTCATAGTGTGACAAAACGCTGGACGCATAATGCAGTATCAAAAGCTTATTTGTCTATAAAAATAGTCCCAGCTTTGCTGAATAAACAAAACAAAACACAACAAAAATAAACAAACAAACAACTACTGTCTGTAAATATACGTATAAACTATACGTATTGTATATTAACATTAAGTAGCCCCACCAGTGTTGCATGATTTAAAACAAAAACAAACAAAACCAATACAGAACAAAACAAAAATATTGTCTGTAAAGTTGTATATAAAAATAAGGTGAAGTAGTGTCACCACTGTTGACTGATCAAAACAACATAGAATTAAAACAAACAAACAAAAATGACAACTATTGTTTGTAAACAAAACAATTATAATAAAGTACAAACAATATTGTCTGTAAAGGTAATTGTAAACAATATGTATTATATAAAAAAGCTGTTTATAAACAAAGAAAAAGTAGTCCCAATATTGTTTGATGATTTAAAGGCGTCATATGATGCGATTTTAAATTTTTCCTTTCTCTTTGGAGTGTTACAAGCTCTTGGTGCATAAAGAAGATCTGTAAAGTTGCAAAGACTAAAGTCTCAAATCCAAAGAGATATTCTTTATAAAAGTTAAGAGTCAACCACACCTACCTAAAACGGCTCGTTCTAACACGCCCCCACATGTCTACGTCACGATGTGGGAAGATTTGCATAACGCCGCCCAAATGTTCACGCAAAGAAAAAAGGCGTAACTTTTATTCTCGCTGTAGTATTATTGTTGCCGCCGCCGCCGCCATGTCATGAAGGCGCTGTGTGTTTCATTGTGAAAGCAAAACTACTTTGTTTGGAGGACGATATCCCCTTCGTCATGCCTGGAGCTGAGCCGTGCTGGTCGCTGAGGAAATACATCAACTTCGCGCTGTGGATTGGCTTTCACCGTGGACGAAGCGGAGTCATTTCCGTCACACGCTTGAGGTATTCGGCCAATCACAACGCACTGGATAGCTGGCCAATCAGAGCACACCTCACTTTTCAGACTGATGAGCTTTGTAAAAATCAACGCGTTTCAGAAAGGCGGGGCATAGAGGAGAAACAATAATGTACAGTATGTGGAAAATAATGTGTTTTCTGAACCTTAAACCACATAAACACATTTCATTACACCAAATACACAAAATAATGTTATTTTTTTAGCAACAACATATGACCCCTTTAAAACAAAACAAAAAAACAAAACAAAACAAATAAAAAAATGACAATTATTGTTTGTAAAGGTACGTTTACAAAAAAACAAACAAACAAACAATTCAAAACTATTATAATAAAAAACACAAGACAAACAAACAAAAAACAACAACTATTGTCTGTAAAGGTACTTGTAAACAGTACTTGTATGTACTTTACAAAAAAGCTGTGCATAAACAAATAAAATGTTATCCCACTACTGTTGGATAAAAAAGCACAACAAAACAAAATTATCGTCTGTAAAGTTTAATATAAAAATAAGGTAAAAGTAGTCCCAGCACTGTTGGACAACACAAAACAACAACAACAACAATAATTGTCTGTAAAGGTACTTGTAAATAATATGTATTGTATAAAAAACAAACACAACCCCCCCCCCAAAACAAGCAAAACAAAAACAACTATTGTTTGTAAATGTACTTGTAATCAATATGTATTGAGAAAAGCTGTATATAAAAATAAGGTAAAAGTTGTATATAAATATACAGTGTACAGAGTGAGAACTGCAGATTCTAGCACAAGGATCATCTAGTGTGCTTTGGATCATAAACCAAAGCACACAGTGACACATCTAATGGCTCCATCAGCCAGTGAGAAAATATTTAATTTACATCACTCCCTGTGCCACCAAAGTGCAAAAACAAGATCATGTGATGGGAGAGAACTCACTGACCCCAGATCAGTGATGAGTGTGTTCACCTTAAAAGCACAGATTGATGAGGATGAGAGGGAGACTGTTCTACGAGAGGTCTTACCTAACACAGTCAGGAAGGCCTTGGAGGTCTTGACAGGCATGGTGAAGAGCGAGCATGTATACTGTCCTTCATCTGACAGAGTAACATCACTGATGCTGATGGTCAGCTCCTTCCAAGAGGCTCGAACCAGTTCAATCCGGTTGTCCCTTAATGCTGAGACATAAAAACATATCATTAGTGATCAATAACTAATCAGTAAGGTAAAAAGGACTTTTGGAAAAACATCCAACTGTCACATTGCCTGAAAACGTGTTTGAATGGTACCATGGTAAAGTGATGGAATCAGATGGTAATATCTCAGCATGTCTACTGGAGCTGGTTGAGTGAAGGATTCAGGACACGAGTAAAGCAAAAAAGGAAAGGAATTGTATTTTTGTCTGTTTAAAAAACATACAGGGTTAGGCATACAAAAATAATATCTCAAATGAAAAAATAATGAAAGAAATAACAATCTTGATGCAATGAGCAACTCATAAAAATGGGCAAAAATAATCTACTTTATGCCTCTAGATAAAATATAAATCCTGCTCCTGGGGAGATACGGCCAAATAACTAAAAGACAAAGAAAGGCACCCTCTTGCTCAAACAAGGATTATACAATAAATAAGGGACGTCACACTTCTAACTCCAAATATTCCTCAGTGTGGGCATTAAGTCAACAATCAGGCATTAAATATCAAAGCATATAACAAAAAAGTATGCATGTTTCAGCATATACTAAAGTTTATGTGCTAAAGTTCTTAAACAGCATTGTTTTAAAGCACTATGTTGGTGGAACCATTCATAAAAACGATTTACTGTAAATGTGCAATGCATTACATGTCTGTCACACAATCACCAATGTTTACATGGACACTTTTTGTTTCCGTCAAAATGAAATCATCCCAACTGAAACTTCTACTCTTCTACTCATTGTTGGAGGATCAAAACAACACAAAACAACAACAACAGCAACAACTAACTATTGCAATTAAGTAAGGTAAGAGACAAAATTATTGTCTGTAAAGTTGCATATAAAATAAGTAAAAGCAGTTCCACTACTGTTAGATGGTCAAACAAACAAACAAAAAACGAAGAGAAGCGAAGCAAAAACAACTATTCCCTGTAAAGTTTCTTTTAAACAGCATGTATTGTGAAAAATGGTATATAAATGTTTAGTGTTTCATCTGAGAACTGCAGATTAAATATCAAATAATTAAACAAAAAAAGAATATAACAAAACAATTTCTTTGTTTTAAAGAGCAGACTTAATAATTTTCTTTTTGGGTCTTAAGACGAGCACATAAAGCTTTTTGCAGTGCTGCAGGACTGATAGGACATTGTTGGGACACTGTGAATGCTGGAGGACATAGTGAGGCCAGCAGGGGGCGCCCACTCTGTGATCTGCATGGGTCCTAATGGTCCAATATGATGTGGAAACCATATAGTAAAAGACAACATCCTTTGGATCAAAAGGTAAATATAGGTCCTGATACTCTTGAGGGAATTTAATTTCTAGGGTGTCTCTTGAAAATAACCTCTGGACCCTGACCAGATTTGAGAAAATTACACAGATATACAAATATAACAGATTATTAATGTCATGGTACCTTAGTGTTAGTGAACCACAGTGTCTTTTTGTTAATATTAGAGATTTTCAAGCTTTAAATACCTCGGAGGTGAAGCTTAGGACTTATGTTTGCTTACTAATTCATGACATTATGTATTATTCATGAGTTTAGTCACACAGTAGTGACACAAACGTTTTCGAAACTCCCACTGTTCTGAATATAAACTGCGATTGACTGTCACCGTCAAACTGAAGCCGTTTGTTGCCTCTAACTGGAGTTTCAACACTTTCCACCTGTCTGCCAAAAGCAGCCATTCATCCATTTTGTTTGCAATTTCCAAGAAGAGTTTGCAGCAGCCGAGAGACTGATGAACAGAAAGGTCACCTTATACTCATCACCTCACAAGGCACAATTCACTTGTATTTTATCATTTGAAAAAAGTAAGAGAGACTGAGACTTTTCATTTAACATCTCACAGACTTTATATTTCACGTCAGTCTGCCTATTTACATATATAATACATTTTAATTGCCATTGTAATTTTGGTTCCACTTTATATTAGGTGGCTACTATGTACTTACATCAAAAATAAGTACAATGTGCTTATTGTGTTCATATTTTAACACTTTATATGCTATTGAGCTGGGATACAGATTTGGTTGTATGGGTAGGTTTAAGGGTTGGTTAAGGTGTAAGGCATGGGTCAACATTGTAATTATAAATGTATTACAGAAATTACTTAAATGCATTGCATCAAATTATTAATTTAAATGTAATTACATAGTAGTTAAGGCCAGCTAATATAAAGTGGGACCGTAATTTTTAAGCCAGTTAAGCCAACCGCATACAGATCTGCATCTATTCTGATATGCAATGCTCACAATCCAAAATCAAGTTCCACCCTTTTTCTTATTTATCACGTACCTCTGGGTAATTTTCTGCAACACCATTTTTATGTACCTTACTGCACGTTTCACCGCAGTTTCAAAGAGAAATGTCCACTGAGTGGCGCTAAAACATGGGTTCAATACGTGAACTCTGGCACTTTTTATTACGTTGATATAGATACGTATTGCTGTGTTTTTATTACGTTGCTTCAGGTACATATTGCGGCAGTTCAGAATTCAAATATCCGGGGACTGTCGCTAAAATTTAATGCTCTATCGTGTTGGAAACCAACCCTAAACCTACCCGATAGTGTCAACAAATGCAAAACTGATATAAAAACGCATTTGTTGATGCAATCGTGCCATTTTAACTTCCTTATATGCAGATTTGAACTGTTTTGTCAAACCGTAGTTACACGGGATTCGAACCAGAGCTTCTCACCTCTCAAGTCTCCGTACTCCGTGAGCTACCGAACAAACCAACCATCTATGAAAACAGCTCACAATCCAAAATCAAGTTCCACCCTTTTTCTTATTTATCACGTACCTCTGGGTAATTTTCTGCAACACCATTTTTATGTACCTTACTGCACGTTTCACCGCAGTTTCAAAGAGAAATGTCCACTGAGTGGCGCTAAAACATGGGTTCAATACGTGAACTCTGGCACTTTTTATTACGTTGATATAGATACGTATTGCTGTGTTTTTATTACGTTGCTTCAGGTACATATTGCGGCAGTTCAGAATTCAAATATCCGGGGACTGTCGCTAAAATTTAATGCTCTATCGTGTTGGAAACCAACCCTAAACCTACCCGATAGTGTCAACAAATGCAAAACTGATATAAAAACGCATTTGTTGATGCAATCGTGCCATTTTAACTTCCTTATATGCAGATTTGAACTGTTTTGTCAAACCGTAGTTACACGGGATTCGAACCAGAGCTTCTCACCTCTCAAGTCTCCGTACTCCGTGAGCTACCGAACAAACCAACCATCTATGAAAACACATAGATATGAAGCTGGATATGTGCGATGCTAACATTCAAAAGCATCAGTATTCAAATTAATCACTTTATTAATCGAAACTCTGTAAATTTGTGTGAAAAGGAATAAAAGGTGTAAGAGTTTTACTGCCTCTAGTGTTCATTTATTTTGGAAACTGCAGTGATATGTACTTATTGGTATGTATTTCGCATCTTGCGAAAAAGTGCCCCCAGGTATGTTTTTGCCATGAGACCAGGTAGTGGAAATATATCAAAGTACAGTAGTAAAGTCGGTTTCATGGGCACTTTAACAACAGACATCATGCCATGAATTATATATGGTGTCCCAACATGGTTTCGTTTCAGCAAAAGAGTGTTGACATTCACGTTTGGTCTCTGTAAACTCTGTAACACTGGGGAATTCCTCATAGACGTGTTTACTGCCCTTTTGGGAACGTTGTTACATGCAGACAATGACATGTCATATCAGAAAAATGGATTTACTTACATGTCAACAGAGACAATTGTTTCGTCTTTCGAAACCTTTTAGATGTACATTAATGTTAAAAAAACAACGTGTCTCCAAACAATAAGATCTGACGCTACAAAACAGCATCTTTCTAGAGAATGTGTCAAGACTGTTTAAATATTCCTTCTGAATGTGTGCTGAGTTATGAATAGAGGGTTTGTGGAGATGGCAAATGCCTTGGGGGTTTTTTGGCAAGGAAACACAGCGGAATTGGATAAAGGGAGGAAAGGTGATCAGGTCTGGGCTCGCTCTACACATGGGCCTGCTGATTGAGTCCAAAGAAACCCGGTGAGACAAGGACCATCAAAGCTTAGGAACAGATGACACATTTCCACCAGCCCATATCCCTCTATCTTCCTCAGACACAGAGGGAGGAATGGAAGAAAAGAGTGCGCTCCCTTGTTGTTTACAGAAAAGACAAACACATACACACTCATACGCCGAATATCACAAAGGTGATGATAAGCTGCCAAGGCGAGGAACAGTTGCTGTTTGTACCGCATCCGAGGGTTGATGGTACAATGCCTAGACTCTAAAACGCTTGCCGGTTTCCATTCAAGCCCTACAATGATAACATATAGGGATGTGGGCGTTGAAAAGAAAGACAGAGAAGAGAAGATAGATACTGAGAGGAAGAAAAAAGATTCACCCACACAGAGTCTGAAATCGACTTCCTTCAGTGGTCAAATCTGTCTCTGCACTGGGGTCAAACGAAGAGGTGAATGCTACTCTCAAAAAGAGCTTGATACAACAATCTCATGATGCACTGGTTCATTTCACTTACGCTGAGACTTTGTGCTACGTCTTATTTTGACACAATGGTGTCAAGCTTGAAACATTATCCCAAATCCATTGACAGAAACAAGTATACAAAGGTTTGAATAACCCACAGACAACTGTTATCAATTCGACGCAGGCCAACAGGGGCTGGCAAAACTCTGCATCCACATTTCCAAAAAAAGAATCGAAAGCCTGCCAGATGCCCAGAGTTAGCTCCAATCTGTCACAACCTCCGTGAAATGCCAACGTCTGACAAAGCTCTTTTCCCCAGAGCTTAAAGAAGTCGACATGATGAAATGGTTGGTTTCCAACATCCTTCTGACGACTTCAACGCAGTTTATTCCAGCAGCGTAAATCCCTCGGTTTGACCTTGCGCCCTTATCTATCTTTTTTGGGGAAGAAGGCAACTATGCACGGCTGAC